GTTGAGGCGCACGTTTTAAACGTGTAAACGTGTACGTGTGACGTTCGGCGCCGCTTTCCCGTAAGCCTAAAAGTTTGACAATGGTGTTTGGATAGTCGGTGGAATCACGCTCGACATTTCAAACACCATCGTCAAACTTTTAGGCTTACGGGAAAGCGGCACCGAACGTCACACGTACACGTTTACACGTTTAAAACGTGCGCCTCAACCTCTCTAATAATTTTTCATTTTAGTAGTGATATTCTTTCTATGAAATTATTAAATCTTTGACTAATAATTTGATTCATCACTTTGCAAATTTAAAAGCATGGATGTTATAGTCTTTATTAGTAAATTTATTAAAAATTTATAATTTTATTAATTATATTGGAGTTATTTAATTATTTTTTCGAACATATTAAGTATTACTGATACAATTCCATTGATTATAAGTTCGAGTCTGATAAACAATATTTATCATAAATTTTCTTCTGATTTTTAAAATTATCTTTATAATTTTATCTTACTATTGCTATTTTATAGTTTTATTATCAATACTAACTTATACACAAAATGATATTAAATTTAAAATGATTCAATAGATAATGGCAATCAATCACAAATCATAAAAAATAACATTTATTTAAACTATAACTTAAAATTACATTATTCAATATACATCATTATAGTTTATTTTAGTTCAAACAGTAATTTCAATGGTATATGTTTATTTATATCAAAGTTCAGAGATTATTCTTATAAATTATTTAATAGTTAATATTTAAAATGCTTAATTTGATTTGAGAGCATTAGCATTTGAAACATTGAAATTTAATTTGTTTACGGTAGTTTCAACTTTTCTGGTTAAAATCGGAGCATATTTCCATATTAAAGTATCTTTGACGCGATATTTTAGATAAATTTTTTGGCAATCTATTTTCATCGATAGTGGACACTCCGATCTATAATGATGAAGACGAGCCACATCTTTATTTATCAAGCCGTTTCTTCTCAATCGTGGATAGAGTGGAATAAGAGCGTAATGGTTAAAAACTGCCAATGTGTTATTTGTAGAAATAAAACTCTTTACCGCAAATCCCAATTTACTAAAATTAGCTGAACGGTAAATATGTTTCAACATATGCATATAAGGAGGAATTTTAATGTCTTTGTAAGAGTTAGAATCACCAGTAAACTGATCAAAAAAATAAACATTTCTAGCCGAAAGTGAACAATAATTTAACAGTGCATCAGGCTGATCATTGAAGATTCTCTTTATCATTTGATGCCAATTTAAATCCCGTGTTGGAACAATAATCTCATCTAAATCTAACAGCAAAACGAATTTATGACTATGAATATGTCGGTAGAAACAATCATTATAAGGAATTAACTCGTGTCTTCTTTTTTGCCAGATATTTTTATTTAAAAATTTTGTTCGTTTTTCGACATCATTAGGATCCTTACCTGGTAATGAGATGAAGTTTATATCAACTTTACCTTCTTGCTTATAATAATGTAAAACTCGCGCAACATTAACTGAAACATTATACACATAAAATGATATTGTATCGGCACCTAAAAGAAATTGCATTTCGATCCATTCTATTAATCTCAGAGAAATGTCGTTTTTAAAATCCATTCCCTTGACACATACAGCAAAGTTTTTCTTTTCCGTTTGCACCTTTCTTGATAAATTAAAATATACAGTTGGTTCTTCACAAGAGGTAGTTATGACAGATACTCCATCAATATCTTTAATATTATACGGAAGAGGACAACTAATAATGTAAGGTCTGTAAAATATTGTATCAGCGACTACATCCCAATTTTTTAGCCATATCTCTTTAGTTTCAGCAGGAACACTATACGCAACATTATCTTTCCATAATAAGCAATATAAGGATACTTGTAATATTCCTTCAGTCATGCCTATTATCCTGACCTGAGGATAATTAACGTCTTTATACTTATATCTAGTATCATAAAATGCAGAATATAAATATATTTGAGATTTTTGGCATCGTTGCCAAAAGCCATTATTGAGAAAAATCGAGCCTTTACTGACATTACAAATAAAAATGTCTACTTGAGGTATTAAGTCTCTTCCATAGCTAATAAGTTCTTTGACTATAAAAGCTTCGTTTTGTTTTAGATTAGAAGGTACCGGTACATCGAGAGTTGTTTCTTCCAAAAAGAAAAAGTAACAGATGCAAACAAATGCGATAATCACTACTACGAATAGACTTCTGCTCCACTTCATACTATCCAAAAAAATCTATAAATTTTCTTCTTTACATTACATGATTCCAGTATTACAGCTGAATTTATTTCATAAAAATTTTCGCTTTCATATTTAATGTTCTGTAAAAAAAAAGTAAAAAAAATATATAACAAAATTAATTTAATAAGAAAAATAAAGTATTGGTTTATAATAAATAATTTATTAAAATAAAAATAAATAAGATCTATAGATTTATACGATGACACGACGAGTGAAAACAAATTGAGATGGCTTTTTTCTAGCGAAGGATAACTCTAGCCGAAGAGGTTAAGATGTCATCCTACCACTCTGGGAGACAGGATCCTATCCTGGAGGTCAAGAATTGTCGGAGTCCGTTCGTCATCACTCGATCGCCCCCATTGGGAATCTGGTCAAATCCATCATGGATATGGATGAAAGGCCTTCTTAACGCCTAAACGACGAAGTTAAAAAGTATAGCACTAACGAATTCTGGCTCTATATCAATTTATTTTTAATTTTTGATTTTTTCCGTCCTGTGGACACTAAGAGGGCCTTTTTAAATCATACTCAACCTGACTTCTACTAAACTCACAATGGGCAGGCGGCCGGTAGTGAGGGACAGAAAAATATTCCCGAGATTATGTTGCTTTGGGGGACCCTGGATCGAATCCGGACGGTCGAAGAATAATACCTAAATAGCTCAGCAATCTGCCCGTTAACCTTTTAATTAGTATCATTAACTTCAATTAAGCATGTTTGCGCTTATATATATATATATATATATATACATACGAATTTATACGTATAAGAGTAAGACATAGCAGAGTATAGGAATAGTGATAATCACTATTGCATGTTATTCTCGAGGACAGTGTTTTTCAACCTCTTTTATCTCACGGCACACTTGAACCTAAAATTAAATTTCCACGGAAAAATCACGAGATTTAAAGTTGTGTTTGTAAACAATTTATTACCATATTACTTGCCTCTTAACCTAATTCTTTTTGTCTTTATTTTTTGTAAATTAAATAAAACAGTATTGTTGTTCCTTAAAATAGCAGCAGGTTACAATAATAGCTATTTAAATTAATAATATTCATTTACATAAGAAAAGCAATTAACATTAAGTCTTAATTTGCATTTAAAAGATTTCTAAATTGCCTTTAGAAATCTGCCCAATGTCCTGCTATTTCTAAGTTAAAATAATTTGAACTAAATATGGACAATTATTGATACGTTTTTGATTTAAAGACAATTTATTTTAAATGAAAAAACTCGGTGTTTACGCTCATATAATTTTGCTTATGAATATATATTTTTTACTACATGTATACCTTTATTCATTATAACAATGAAAAACTCGTATAATCAATTTAAAGAGGTTTTAATTTTGACACGTATGCTTATTGTTCTTTGGGTTTTTTCTAAAATAGTTTATTTAATAACCTTCAAAAATTTTCGCGGCACATCTACGATCCTCTCGTGGCACACCGGTTAATTTAAATATCAATGCTGTAGGCTTATTCGTATACTTAAGATAGTGCACAATTTGACATCATTTTTAAACTTGTCCTTTGTAAAACTAATGGAATTACATCAAACATTGTAAACAAATTAAATTTCAATGTTTCAATTAATGTTAAAGCGTACACTTTCGTAAAGAAACGAACAGAGTTTCTATTATGCATCTATTGCATTTTTTGTGGGCTAAATGTACTGTTTTGTGATCTATACGACATTTATATATTTATGTACGAATACATTTTCTAATGATAAATAGAAAAAGATGACATTTAAAGAGAAAAGATTTTTTAAAATATAATTTTTACATCTTAGATTAAGATTNTATATATATATATATAAAATACCAACCCATTGAAAAAACTCATGTTAATAATATAAATGTAACAATTTCTTTAATCATAATGTAATAAGTGATATGAAAATTGTGTAATTAACAATCCACAGTGAAGTAATTTTAGTTATAAACCTGTAAAGGATACAAAGTTACTTTTAAGTTATCTCTCTATGCATACGTCTATATGCAAAACAAGTAAAGGTTACTTCTACTCAACATTGTAGATTTTAACAGGAAAAATCAGGAAATTCTCATATAAAAAATTAAAGCGTAATAGTTCAATTTAAACAAAAATGAAAGAGAAAATTTGATAAGAACGTATGTTTAAATGTATCATCCACTAACATTAAAAGGATTGACATGAATTAGGATAAACCAAGTGGGCGTGTTGCNTTTTAATTAAACTTATTTTAATTTATTCAAAAAATAATAGTATTTGAATTATTTTTCATTAGAAAATAATTTTTCTACTTAATCAAAGATCAATATGTAAAACTTACCACTGAATTTCATGCTTTTCAACAGAAGAATAATAGAAATGGGACAAATTTAGAAGCAATACACACTTAATAAAAGAGGAATGGAGCAGAAAAACTCCGAGTTAACGATATCCCGAATAACCTCGTTTAAAAATCTGATCCAGTTAAAAGCATCCAAGTGGAAAATTATGTTCTTCTTTAACTGAAATAGCACACCTTTTCGGGAAAACAACAATTTTAAAATTGTCTTATGACTATTTTACGATGTATTTTACATTTGATTCAAATAACTAAATATCAATATATATTTAACTATCACAACTGAGTAACATCGTAAAACATTAACCCAGATAATTAAATGCGAAAATACTCTTTAAAAAAATGAATGGAAAACAGTAAACACAATAGAATAGCCTTAAAAAATATAGAGAAATATAAAATATTTCACTTTTTATGCAAGATTATTTCAGGTCGTTGTTATATATTTTGATACTACTAATTTTAATTTAATAGGATAAAATTAATTTTACAAATTCAATCTATTTTACTAGAAATACAGTGTAAATATTATATTCTGTATTCTGAAAATGCCTGATACAGACAAATTTTATTAAAATAGCAATTTATATAAATTTAATGTATAGATAATTGTTTAGTATATGACTCGAACTAATTACAATGTTATGGGCTGTAGATCAACTATAGTTCATTTGAGCGATTAATAGTTATTTATGCTACCTCTTCAAACCACTAACTATAAAATTAATAAACAGAGAAATTTTAGTAACATAAANGATTTTAAAATATATCATTTGTAATTAAGCTGAAATGAAATAAAAATAAACATAATTAATTAATATTTTAACAGATAATAATTTATTCGTGTTTTTTGTTTTTTTTACTTTTTCTTAATTTTTTACATTGCGTAGGCTCACCGTATGTCCTCTTTTCTCCGGGCATGTCCTCTTGCTGAATGTAAAGTTTTTGTTTTTATTTTTATTTTTTCAAAACGCAATGCCAAAGGGAAGTGATCACATATTTGCAAATAACAAGGAAAAAACCCAAATTAAAATCCCAATACAATAAGAAGCAAACAAGTGGACTGCCGGATGGCCGAGTAGTCAAGGTCCTTCCACTCTAGGGAGCCTGGAATCTAAATCCGGACGGGTCGAAAAATCCCCAGGAATTTTTCGGGGGTGATCCGACCGGATATGTCGGCCCCCGTCCCTCACCACTCGTCCGCCCCATTGTGGGCCTGGCCGAACCCATAAAGGGCATGCTATAAGAGGCCTTCTTAGTGCCCACATAGCGGAAAGAGTTGAAAAGAAAAAAATAAGCAAACAAATGAAAACCAATGAAAAAACAGCAAAGTATTTGTTGGAGTAGATTTTTTTGTAGATATACAAGAATGATAAAAACAAAACTTAAAATTGGAAAAGTATATGTATTTTTGTACTTTTTTTTTTTTGTTCTCTTTGAATAATAATAAAAAATTGAATAAATTTTATTTTAATTTTAAAATATATATTCAAGCTTTGATTAAGCAATAGTCATTCGTTTCTGTATAAAATGTCGGCATAAATGTTTTATGTGTTCATCTTTATTTATCTTAGAATATCAAACAGACTTCATCGTAGATAATAATGCCGGAAATAGCTTGAACAAATATTAACTAAAATTTTAAATAATATAAAGTGACGATATCAATGTAAATAAATATTAACATTTATCGTGTATTATATTTTAAGGTGTATGTTAAGAATTAGATTCTTTCTGAATTTTAACATACATCTTAAAATAAAATACAAGGAGCGCTCTTTTTTGTGTTAAACATTTGATTTCAATGATTTTAAATGTATTTTATCATTCACAGTTCGTTGGTCAGACTCGAACCCACGTTCAACTACTATTCAGTAGTTTTATTCACTCGGCTACTGGTGTGCCCTTATGTGAAAAGATTTGATCTAAACAAAATATGATATATATTATCGTCGGGAATGCTGTTAAATATAAGACAACTCTTTAATGTAATGAAAATCTAGTGTATATAGAGGTTAAGGTTATCACGTTTTGAAATGCTCAATGCAAGACAAATCGACAACCAGAAAAAAGGAGAACTATAAAAGAAAATTAAGTATATTAATAATAAAATTATGATCGGAGAAATTTAGGCGACAATTATCAATAATTTAATATAACACCGTACATTCAGATATACTATATATTGTCTATTCATTATGTCTGAAATTACGAGTCCGGAAAGTTCACGAATTTTGCAAATAGAAGTTGTTTGCATTTACTTAAAAGCTAACCAGTTTGTCGCCTTCGAAGTAGTCCCCTTCTGAGTCTAAGCTCCGAATTCAGCATTTCTGCCACGAAAAGAACGCTTCCTGAAACGCTTCTTTTGGGATGACGCTCACTCCGTTCAGCGAATTTTTTTAATGATGTCAATGGATTCAAAACGGCGACTTTTGAGAACGGATTTTAATTTGGGAAACAAAAATAAGTATTTCTGGGCTTAGTTCAGTAAATGTGAAAGTGTGGGAACAAGTGGCGTCGAGTTCTTGGCCAAAAATTCTGTCATCAGCAGTGCATTGTGTGGGTGGGTGCATTGTCACGATGTCGTTCTCTTCGAACAGTCGTACTTTTCTTTCACACTGCTACACGAAGATGTTTTATTACCTCCAGATAGTATTCGTGATGAACAACATCTTCGGAATCGAAAAAACAGTGAACAAGACGCGGTCTTCACATTCGACTGAATTTATCGCGCGTTTTTGGTCGTGGTGAAGATTTTCTCACCCATTCTGATGACTGGCGTTTTGTTTTCATGTCGTAACCCATCGACACATCTCTCATCCTCATTGATGATGTTTTTCATGAAATTTTTATTAGATCTAGCCCGTCCCAGAAGCTCTTCACTCAGTTGCACTCAACGAAAGAAAATCGCAAAACACAATCAACACATTTTTACACAAATAAACGTAATACAACAACAGATAAAGATAGAACAAACCGTTTTCGACAGATAGTACAAAAAAACTTGCTGCTAGAGAGTTGTGCAAGATTGACGCTTACAACTATTCTGCTTTGTGGTACTATTTTTTAAAATAATTTTTATATTAAATTTAGAATTTTATATTGTTGTTAACGTAGGTTTTTATTGTGTTCACAAAATACGTGCGTTCAGAAATTAATTGAATGTTCTTTGTTTCTCTTTTTAATGTTTTAAAACGATTTATTTTTGAACTTAAAGATTTTTTGTTAAAAAATGTAAAGTAGGACAATTAACGTAGGACAAAAGACATCTATTTTAACTGTAAGACTGTCCTACCGAAAATACAACGCGTGGTAACTGTAATCGAGGTGCTATTCTAGACCGGATCGTAATACGGAAAGTCCGTATTGAATGTTTGTGTAGGATATTATCTATTGATACATAATCTAAATAATATAATATCATATAAAAATAGTTTTACTAATAATAAATAATAGAGAGGTTGAGGCGCACGTTTTAAATGTGTAAACGTGTACGTGTGACGTTCGGCGCCGCTTTCCCGTAAGCCTAAAAGTTTGACAATGGTGTTTGGATAGTCGGTGGAATCACGCTCGACATTTCAAACACCATCGTCAAACTTTTAGGCTTACGGGAAAGCGGCGCCGAACGTCACACGTACACGTTTACAC